AATACTAACTTTCTTTAACCTCACTTGACTCCACTGGAACGCCTCCAGTCTTTAGAAAGTTGTTTACAATACAATAGGTGAAGTTAAGGAGCACATACCTCATTGAGTATATAAATAGCGTAATAGGAAAGCGTCAAGTGATACATTATTTAAATCGTGTATCGCTGAATTTCTTAAAATTTGCAATTTTCTGAAAAATCTTTGATGTGAATGATTTTTGTGATATCTACCTGTGCCTTTTCTTTATATTTGTTTCGCTGATTGATAAGAAATATAATATATATTACCCCTTAACAATGTGAAAAGAGGAATGAACTTTACCTGCATGCATTAACTGAGAAATGCTTAAAAGAAGATCATCATCCGTTTGAGATTGATATATGTAAGTTCAAAAAGGCTACACTATTTATGTTTAATTTGTCTATATTTTCTCCATTGAATTATTAACAAAACGCCGCCATAAAAAGCGATTGTTAATGATAAGAAGAAATGTTGACCTAGTTCTCGTTTAGAATTTTATCAACGTCATGTCATCCTAATGGGCGGGGCTATACATTGAGTTTAGTGTAAACTACACATGCGCTCTTTGTCCAAAACTCTAAGTTATTGAGTGTTCGACTAAATAAATACTTGACAAAAATTTCCTGTGTAAATGATTAAGTAGGGCATTTATTCAAAAACTGGAGCGTTTTACTTATGCAAATGATGTTGAACGCTACTAACAAATAGACATTGATTTAAATGTACTAAATGGGACTAGTGAAACATACATTTATATACCTTTAGAGACAACTAATAATGCTTGATATAACACACGTTTTGGTAATAACCCAAGACTCGCGTATTAAAGCTTTATTAGTTACTTAATTATTATCCTCTCAAAGTGTTTGTAGAACTGTGTATTATCAATTACCAAAATACACATACAAAAATAAGAAGAAAAAAAAAGAAAAAAAGTGTAAATCACTATATCTGAAATATCAAGTCTGAGAAATATATTTAATTTCAGAATATTCGACCAGTTAAAATAATCAAAGGTTTACAAATGTTTTGTTTGAAGAACAATAGACAATTCCGAACAGAACGTAATTTACAAACACACAAAGAAAAACTCAATTGAGAGCATTGCACTAAATGTCGATGGCAAGCTTCGGTTATTGACATGACGTAGTTCAGTGATCATCTGCATTTTAACAACTTATCAAGATACTCAAATTGCAGAAAAGGGGAATTATAAATTGCTTAAATAACATCTTAAACAGATTATGTATTACACGTATGTGTAGACTATTTAATGTCAAACCTGACAGCGATTAACTGAAGAATGACTATCATGTCGTTAAGATTCAGCAAGGGTCAATGTTAGCCTAATAAACTTTTCCTTTCGATATGTTATGTATAGTTAAAGTAATGAAAAGTGTGCTTTTAGAATGATTCCTATTTTTACAGTCCGTTTATGTAATCCATTATCGAATTTTCATATATAAGCTCTGAACGTCTGCTTGCTTATCTTATTAAACATTGTGGTCCACGAGCAGGTAAGTCTCTTTTAATTTATTGATTAATATCATTGTAGAAGCAGACATAACAATGACACCTTTGTTCATTTTTTCGCCAATCCATGAAAGCGATACTGACTTCAATAATTATTTTTTGTTTAAATATTATCATGCAAGTATGCAAGTATTTTTAGTATGTTATAAGATGATAATTAGAATACTTTCATTCTTCATAATGCCTCTTAATAATATTTATGATTACATGAAATAGTAAGGCCTAAGAAAAAATTGTTTCCCCTCCTGCCACCTACCCACTATAATCACTCCTACCAAAAACATAACATAGTCAAACATGATAATTTCTTTACTTTACATGGATGCAAAATCTTTCAATGAAACTCTTACGAACTGCTCACAGCTCACTGCCTTCACAAATTTAACGCGACAATAGAAATCGGCACGTTACTTCAAACCTTGAACTAGCGAACTTGCGCAAAGAAAACTGTTTCAGCCGAAAATGCCTTTTTGTGTCAAAATCAAACATGGTTTCGGCTCTAATGGAAATAATGAAAGCAAACTTAGTTATATATTGAATAAAATTTCAGCCAAAATGTTGAACATTTTTTATTGTTGACATCCTACTTTCTCTTTACTAAAAGTAACAACTTGTTAAGTACAAAGCGGTAGAAACTGATAATACTACATATTTTTTATTTTCATTATTCAATTAAAGCAATTTTTGAGCGAAAAGTAATTTTTCAATTACATATACAAGAAAATATATCATAATCAAAATAACATTTCTGTTTTAAATATTATCAAAAATCTTAAATAAAAAACTTAGGATGACAGTGATCTGTGTTGCGAAGCAAAGGGACAAAACTGCGAAGGAAATAATTTAGTACACAACGAAAATATTGAACGCAGACTCACATTTGAAGATTCATTTAAATATTCGGAAATTTTCAATGAATCACACAACTCTTTTCATCTTGTTTTGTGTCATGGCGAGGGTAATTCAAAACAAACTAGAACTATCACTAAATGTGATTAATACCCCCGCAAGACTGCTTCGAAAATGACGAAGTTACTAATAACAGAATACCTTGCAAAAGAATTGAAACAGAGTTATGGTTGTGGGCAATTAAAGATAGTTGTGGTTCTTGTATGCTGCATTTCCTTTCAATGTGGTTGACCTTTTATGATTTTTATTGAATCACTCTGTAATAAGTCCAGAAAGAGTACGCTTCTTGAGCACTGCACTTCCTCTTATTGCGCTTGACCATTGTATGAAGTTGCATTGAATTCTAAACATTAGTTTTCAAGTTATGCACTCGACAAGGAAAAGGAAAAGGAACAAGGGGCAATAACCCTACACATACTGAAGATGGAGTTATGGTTATTGTACGCTGCACTTCCTCTCATTGTGATTGACCATTGTATGAAGTTGTATTGAATTCCAACTACTAGTTTTCAAATTTTGCACCGGACAAAAAAGTATCAAAGAGCAATAACTGTAATTTGTCCAAATAGAGGTCTGGTTCTTGTGCACTTTTATTGAATTCCCACCATTAATTTTCAAGTTATGCACTGAACAATAAAAAGTAACAAAGGGCAAAAACTCTTAATTTAGTAAAAAAAGAGTTATGGTTTCTAAGCACTGCGCTTTTGCTCAATATACTTTACCATTGTATGAAATTGTATTGAATTCCAACTAGTAGTTTTCAAGTTATGCTCTGGACAAGAAAAAAGCAATGGGCAATAACTCTATAATTACTCTGGACAGAGTAATGGCTATTGTGCACTGCATTTACTCTTATTGTGATTGACCATTGTATGAAGCTGTTTTGAATCAACGAACCACTACTTTTTAAGTTATGCTCGGGACAAGGAAAAGTAACAAAGGGAAATAACTCTGTAATTTGTCAAAATAGTGTCATGGTTCTTGTGCAATGCACTTCCTCTTAATGTGCTTTATGGGCTTGATGATTGTATGAAGTTGTATTGAATTCCAACTTGTAGTTTTCAAGTTATGCTCCGGACAAGGAAAAGTAACAAAGGGCAATAACTCTGTAATTAGTCAAGATGGAGTTATAATACTTGTGCACTGCACTTTCTCTTAATGTGCTTGACCATTATATGTAGTTATTTTGAATTCCAACCAGTAGTTTTCAAGTTATGCTCCGGACAAGGAAGTGTAACAAATAGCAATAACTCTATAATTAATGAAAAAGTTATGGTTCTTGTGCAATGCACTTCCTCTCAATGTGCTTGACCATTGTATGAAGTTGTATTGGATTCCAACCATTAGTCTTCAAGTTATGCTCCGGACAAGGAAAATGCAATAGACCGCTGGATCGACCGACCGACCAACCAACCGACCGACCACCGACTGACTCCTATAACTAGAACCTACATTCACGAACATCTTTCTAAAGGTGGATTTGTTTTGAGCCCGATGTAAAAGAAGCTTAGCGGAGGTTTGAAAAGATTTTCCAAGTTGGTGATAGTTTTATGATCATATACAAGTTCAAACCTGCAAGTAAAACATCCGTTTTATGTAGAAAGAAGCGTGTATTCGACGATTCGGATGACATAATTATTCAAACATCTCTTTGCAATTTCACTTGATTCAGTGAGATCAAGAATTCGATCGTTTGCTCACAACAAAACGCGTCTGACCACACGTTAATGTTACAGATTCTATCAGTTCATTCTATATTAGGATATCAACCTCTTTCTATTTCTAAATAATGAGGTAATCTAAATCTACTTAAGGCAATCTGAAATTTCCTCTCACTTATTGAATTTAAATATGTTTCAAAATCAAAAGATTGTTTAAACCTGCAGTAAGTACATAAACGTTGTGAATTGTTTATGTTTGCATACCAAGTTTATCTAATTTCTTAAAATGTAAAATTACCATTATCTTGATTAATCCATATATCTGAAAAGCCCTATTTGAACTGTTGGTATCGTTCTTAAGCATGACAATAATTTGTTTTTTGCAAAGAGTTGTCTGATTGTAGAAAATGCAAACTTATCAAAAATTAAAAAAAGTTTATGCAAAGACTAAGATGCATGTTCTGCAATACATTTATGCGTTCTTTTTCACTTTGCGTTTTTGAAAAAAATTTACGCCTAAATATTTAAGAAGTAACATTTTCTAGTAGAGTATTATAAAGGTAAAAAGTGTAAAAAGTTATAACTTGTATGTCTACTGACTTTTTCAAAAAACACACCCTTAGTCTTTGAAGTATTTATTTTAAGACCCAATGTGCTAAAATAAATTTTTATATCATTTAGCTTTGATTGTAAATATTCTGATGATGTTGCAAATAACACCTGATCATCTGCGTATGATATTGGGGACAAAATTTAATCTTCATATGTGAATAATCTATCTAAATTAGTATTCATATTATTAACAATTTTATTTATGAACATCATAAGCATCAAAGAAGAACCCGGGTCTCAACATTCTAATCTATGAGTAAATACCTTTGACCACTGACAAGTCTTTGTCGTTGATCTTGAGGATCCAGATACTTGAAATACATCTTTCCCAGCTATCGAATTACCAGATGAACTTTAACCATGCCCCGTACGTCCAACAAGCAAAATTCTGTAATCTATAATCAAGAGTATAATAGGTTACTATTTAAATAACTTCTTGTTAACAAACTGAAATGAACTGTTCTTTTAATTTATTTATCTGTGATCTGTTAAATTCTTTTCTTACCTGATTAATTGTTGGGACTCTGGTAACAAAGATAATGTCATATATGGAGGCTTTAATCAAAATGAACGAAAACTTTCAGATATTTACATTATGGAATATTTCGAGACGAAGGTTAACCGTTAGAATGTAAACCTGCTGTTAAGCACACATATCCAAGATTCTCAGTTTAATGTAACAATCCATTGTTTTTCTTAAAAGTATACTTGATGATCTTTATACAGCGTTCATGTATTTGATAAGGTGCATTCCATAATCTTTAAGCATTCAGTATATTTGTTAATAGATAAACGTACAAAATACTTGGATAATCTTTCTACGTACATTATATCTAATAATCTTTACATAATCTTACTTTTATATAAAATTGTGATAGATAAAACATTTTAAGAACATGATTATTTTAATTTAATACACATTATCGTGTTACTATATTTTAACCTCATATATATGACCTTTCGAAATAATCTGATAAGTAAACATCTAAAGTTAAAATTAATTTTGTTTTTTTTTATTTCGTTTTATAGAACATTCTTGCAACTGTTAAAAGTTAAAAGAATATTTGGTTTTTTTTATTTAACAACATTAAGTTTAATAAGTGTAAGGTTATTTCAATATAAAACTTCTTTGTTTACTTACACGTTTAACTTATGATTTAGTTCAGTTAATTGAAATATTCAGATATAAACTGGTGTACACATTACATAAAGTAACATTACGGAAATCACATTAATTAAACTTAAAAATTGTTTTCAAAAGTTTAATCTAACCTGAATCTTTTTCCATTTGATAACATTTCCTCTTTCTGTTTGACGATATTTTTTCAAATATTTTACACTAAAGTCTTCCTTTTTCGCTATGGTGTGTAATATCAGTTTCTATTTATAGTAATATTCAGCTTGTTATATATGTAGATTATACAGGGGCGGATACAGAACATGGTTTCCTGGGGGGCTGACATATGGGTGAAAGATTTTGACAAAAATAATGCAACAGGCGAAAATTGTGCATGTTTAAAGATAGGGCCAATATCTTGTTCATGTGACAAAAATTGTAATTTATGTGTTGTATAGCTCATCATATGAGTTGCAATGTACTTTCGCTTATATATGTGTATACTAATATTTTCCCAAATATTGAGATGATATGGAATTAAGGAAAATATATGTAATTGGGGTGGGCATTGGAGGGGTGTCCCCTGCCATCGACTGAGAAAATTTTGAAATATGAAGTTGAAAATGGTGTTATTTCCTTGTCTTTCTGGTGCTGTTTATGATACCGTTGGGATGGTTTTACAGGTTAGTGTTTGCAGGGTATTACAAATAGAATTTCCCTGGCGTTTAGTATTAATCATTTACAAAATAACAGCACACTAACCAATGTTTGCGCGACTGTTGATAAAAATAATTTTTAAACACTTGATCAATGTACTCTTCTAAATAATAGACGATTTTCCAAAGTAAAGTGATATTAAAGTACTGCCTTTCAATTGTAAAAAAAAAATTTCAAACACATATATTCAATAAGAAATTTTTCCATCAATGAATCCATTTTAGATACTAAAGAGGACAGTACAATTTAAAATATGGTGTACAATGTAACACATCTACAGTGTATTTGCCATTTTCTGTGACTATTAATTTTATTAGACCTTTGAAAAGTAATAAAACCAATCAAATATGCAGTTTAAACATTGAAGTCATTCAAGCATGTTGATAGATAAAGATCTCTGCCAAGCCCCCAGGCAGGAGATTAACAACTGGATGACAGCAATTAATGTTTTGATAAGGGAGTACACTACAGCCAATAAAGTTTGAAACTGACGAAAATATTTTTCAGCCCAGCTGGTAAACGTATCTTTGGGCCAAGCTGGGGGGGGGGGGGGCTGCAGCCCTGAAGCCCGGGCCTGAATCCGCCACTGAGATAAAACACACTAGTTATATATACCATGGCGTTTTCGCGGTATTATATGGTTACTACTTAGATACTTCAAGCTCTATTGATAACTTATTTTAAGATTAAATTGTAATATTGATTTTGTGATAAAAATTTTATTCTCTCAATTAGAAGAAAGTAAAAATGTAACAACCGCAACATAAAAAAAATGTTTTATTTTATTCATAATCCTTGTCAGTCATGCTAATTGATCACAGTGTTTTTTCCTCTTCCAAATATTCTGTCTATCGGATAAAATAGATAGAACAGCTTCTGCAAATAGAAGGCGATCAATCGAACAGTCCGGAAGAGCTGGTAGCTCTTCCATTTTCCCAATCGAACCGGTCATGAGTTACATATACATTGTAATATTGTTATCAGTATGAAATAAAATACAGAAGAATATTTGCAATTAGATATAATGTCTTACCCTGACAATATTACATGATTACACTCAGGAAGCAAACAGTATATACTTTCTTTTTTAAACGAGCTTCAACCACAGTCGAATTACCGTGGACCGATGTAACACAGTCAGTTTTAGACTTTGATTTATAAAGATTGGAATGGTAGCTTTCATTAAACGATAAACATGTTGATGTTGATAAGATATGATATTTGTTTTCCGTTTTTGATCACAAAACATATGTCAGACTGTTGAGTTCGGTTGGGTTTTTAGTCGCTCCAACACAGTATAGATGATATAAATGGTATGGCGACTTTCCAGCTTTATTTCACCTGATAAGAACAACCGACGTTCCGTAAGTTTACTGGATAGCTTCAGAAGTCCCTGTCTTGATTGAAACCCCAAAGCGGTGAGGGTCAAGTGGTTTGAAGTAGACAACCTTAATTACTCGGCCACGGAAGCGCTCTTATGAATTTAAACAATCCAGTACTATTTCCGTAATTTCATACCTCCTCTATTGTGTGTGACAGGTCTATATTTTTCGGATAGACCCGTTCAAACAAAAAGATATCCGTTATGAGGTCTATCATTAGCACGTGCACAGGTCTGCTACGCGCTCTCGGTTTCACATGAAATTCGTGACCAGGTCTTTCCTTAACAGAAAGCCTATACATGGCATTACAGTATCAAATCGATTCTGCTAGACCAGGTCTTTACTAAACAGAAAAACCTCGTACTCACTCGATATCCTTTACATGGCATTAGTTTACGGTGTCGAATCGTTTCTGCCGGGCATTTCCAACATAAAAGGAAGACAAAAGAAAACACAAGTTGGAGATGTTACGCACCATGTACCCCCTAATTCAAACTAATCTTCGAGATAATGAAACTGGTGCGTAAAGATGGATACAAGATAATGTTATCGAGTTGTTATCAATAATCATAGCACATGTATGGTATGTAAGCTAAACATTGTAAGACCATTTAACGCCTCTGAATGTCAATTTCTCCCAGTGTTTTGTGTGGACATTTAAATTCGAATGGCGTCAGAAGAATGGAACCAGCCAGGTATTCAAGATTTTCACATATATACAACATATTACTTTCAAATTCAACTAAAACAAGTTTTAGATAATTGTCATAAGCGAAGTTTATAAGAGTTTTGCTTAAATTAAAGTGACATTTTGCATATATCTTTATTGTCAAGTTGAGATAAATTGACTATGTACTTCAAAAATTGACTGTTAAAATTGTGATTGATCAACAGCTGAGAATGGAAAATGTTTATGATAAAATATAAATCTGTCTTAAATATATAGAAATCTCCGTGGGCCATTTAAGTTATCAATTGTAATGCTAAATAAATTACTAAATTTAAAAGAATTATGAAAACGTATTTTGACTGTCACCTATTCTCTTACTATATACCTTTAAATGAAAATAATGTCACTTTAATAAGAATCAATGAGAGTGTCATTAGATACAAGTTTGTGGTTCTTCTTGTTTATTTAACAATTTCATCAATTAACATCATTCCTTAGTATTTTTGGATATATGCAAATTATCGCTGGCTGTTCATTTACAGCTTCTTGTGCTATTAGTTTAATAGAGACACTGTTGGGTATTCACCCATTTAAGTCATATACTTGAGTTAGGGCTATTCGTTTATTGAAAACATTGTGCATAATGATATTTATCTTCCTTAAACTGGATTAATTTATTGATGTGAGGATAATGAAATTAACTTAACCTAATCGTGTTAAAGATTATACTGTAGACTCTAATGAACACCAATAGAAATAATCTTTTTCGTTACTTCTTTTCGTTTTTGGATCAGTATAAAGACATTTGTTGTTGAAATATGTGAATATTTAACCATCTAATTTATATATACTTTTAGTGTATCACCTCTCACTTTGATTTTTTGTCACGATTTAAATCACCATGGCATATTTAGGAGAACTTGCATATGCAAACTATTGAAATGTCTGTTTTCATTTTGGATATACAAACATTTTTTCATCTCAAATAAAATGATAAATAAATTCATCACCTTTTCAAAGAATCAATAATGACGCACTTGTCCCAAAACAACAAAAACCGGCAGCCATTCGGAAAGTTTCTAATAAGAAATCTAAAACATATTCACAGATATATATACAAGTTATAAAAATATATAACACTTTTACCGTCTAGATATTTGACACTGATACATGTGTAAGTTTGCTTTTTCAGAGTTGAGTTCAGACTTGCATTCAAATATCATTTCTGTACATTTTGTTTATACCACATTTCTTTGTTGGCATATTTTTATTTATTTGTTGGACAATATGTTTACATCACTAAAAATACACTCATTATTTTCCCGATTGCTTGGACCGGAACTCGAATTACAGATTGGCTCATGGTCCCCCTTTACAAATCAGATAGCCTCGTGTTACGATGGTCTTTCTATTTCTTAACTATTAGGTTATATGATTGCAGATCATCCATTATTTACATCTGCATTAACGAGCAACTATATATAGCTTGTTGTAAAGCAGATTGTTATGTGAAATAGATAATATATATATAGCTAGTACTTCTATTTTAACATTATATGAATTACTACAGTTTTGAGAATAATGCTGGTTGGACGGACTGGTCACGGGATAAGTTCTACATGTAACACATTGACTAGTGAAGACCTTTCAGAAGTATCTTCTGCTTCGACATCTACGACGACAACAAGTCAGCTGTACAAAGTAATGCAAGAACTTTAACTTATCTTATGCTAATAAAGTAATACAAAAACTTTAACTTATCTTATCATAATAAAGTAATGCAAGAACTTTAACTTATCTTATGCTAATAAAGTAATGCAAGAACTTTAACTGATTGTATGCTTATAAAGTAATGCAAGAACTTTTACTGATCTTATGCTTATAAAGTAATGCAAGAACTTTACCTGATCTTATGCATATAAAGTAATGCAACAACTTTAACGTATCTTATGCTTATAAAGTAATGCAAGAATTTTAACTGATCTTATGCTTATAAAGTAATACAAGAACTTTAACTGATCGTATGCTAATACGCAAAATAATACAAGAACTTTAACGTATCTTATGCAGATTAAGAAACGCAGGAACTTATTTGATGCTAATATTTATATAAAATAGTTTATTGTTATCAATTATTTTGAATTTGTGGATGAAATTCTTTACATTATACATAATAATGGGATATTATATTACGCCAAAAAGTTAAAAATATGTGCGGTTCTTAAGAATGGGAAAGTGTGTGGGGGCGGGGGAGGGGGGAGTTTAAGGTAAATACTAGTATATATTTTCCTCAAGCCATTTATATTATATCAGCATATATTTTTATATTTGCAGAGACACAAACTTTTTATAATATGACCCATGTAAACATATTTCATATTCTTTATACAAGCGTTTGACGGATTTAATACTTTCTTATTTTCACAAATAATATATGATTATAATACTATCTTTTTTAGTTGGTTTAACGTTTCAATAACACAGTATATGA